TTCGAAGGGCTGAAAATAAAGAACAACAAGATCAAAAACCAAACAATTAGAGGCTTCTGAAAATGGTTTCTGATCTTACTTTTCTTCGTTTTCAGCGCTTTGAAGGGGCTTGGGCGCGACGCGGCCGCGTCAACCGACCGTCTGCCTTCCTCCTCCCCCTTAGCACTACCTCGGCTGGCACGCCGGCACGCCGGCGGACAAGCAGCCATTCCGTCCAATTGGCGGTCCTGAGTGGAACGTATTCGGTAATGCATCAGCAAAAGGGCCATTAAAAGTTGAATGTTCTGGATTCCACTCACTGCTTTTGTTTTTTGGTATTCTGAAAATTTGAGATTACATCTATCTTATGAACTACGGTAGCAGACGAGCTGATTATTACATGCAGTTGGAAGATGATATCAAAGCGACTTCGAGATATGGGTGAGTCCATTGAATGCGATAGCTACTTCCCGGAACTCTTTACTTTGCTGTGACGACCGAGCCTAGCAGCATTTTACCGGGTCTGGCATCTTATCCCCCGAACGGCGTGTCGCGCTCACCGCATGCGATCGCTCGCTATGAAAGGAAATATTTCAATCCCCAAAGAAAGGAAACGGAGAGTCGCCGCAGAACCACTGCCGCAGGCCGTGGGAATTAGGGGAGAAGTCTCGTTACCCCATTTTACCCAGCTAACTTATTTGATCCCTAAAGTCTTTGAGAATATACAACTTTAGTCACCCGAGGTTTAGCCACTCTCCAGAGTCTGAGTTGAGAAGCACTACTTTTCCCACATCCCTGTTTTTCGTTTCCGAAGTTAAAATAGAAATGGAAGTTTGGCACAGGAACTCGTTCTTCACGGTAATCAGTCAAGGGGTCTTGGCTCGAAATAGTGGTCGACACACAACACACTGGCTAACTCAAAAGCCTACGTGACGTCCTTGTCAAGGGTTCTGTTTCGATGCGTCGTATACGTATCGATTGTGTTCGAATAGGGTTGTGGCGTAGGACGAAGTATGTTGTCTGTGAGATTTGACGTCCACTGCTTTTCATTCCACCGTAAGGTCAGCGTTAGAACTGTTTCCAGTACTAGATTGTGTTCATGTTTTACATAAGGGTTTATCAATTGAAGCCCTTACATACAAGATCTGAAGTCTGCGTACACGACAAGGGCACGTGTGTAGTGTATGGGCAGACTATAAACGCGGGCAGCATACATACTTCTGTGTATTAAGGAGAATAATATTTGACTATATAAAATTCAAACAAGACAGACCATGGTTCATTATGCAATTCTCGACTCTTGGAGCTATTGGAAGATTGTACAGGTCAGCTTCCTGCTTACCATAGAGTTACCAAATCTTTTATAATTCTTTTTTCGAAACTTCGCGATGAAATTGAATTCATTGCAGAAGTGAAGACGTGAAATATCTAACATATGCGATAGCATTGTACTATCGATATAAACCAGTTGACTGGATATTATACAGCGTTGAGAATAGTCGCTATTGTTCTTCATACGGCGAATTGACTCATTGTAAACAAGTATGTGAGCAGTGCTATCAATTCACAAAAATCCAATGTGTTCTCAATGCGATACATTTCACTTCCGCCTTCGTCTTCCTACTGCCCTGTGAGTCCTTCATAAAGGCATAACTCTTGGGTCACCATCAGTGACCCCGACGACTCGAGCCTTCCACCCTTGACTGCTTTCATACTTCGCGATGGTCGATGGCTGAAAGGCGCAGGTCGTCTGCGTCGATCAATATCCTACAGGTCCGATAATCGTAATAGCCCTTGACAACATTGTGGCACTCCAATATGCTTGTCCTCCCTATCTATAGTCCGCGTGAACGCTGTAATTAATCCAATGCGGTTTTTCTTCAAATAAATGGCCTCCTTGATCAATTTCGTTTGCTCCATTGTGGAGTTTTTTAGGAATAAAGACTTCTAATAAACTCTCATGAGACCTAGATGATGAAGGCAGAGCGTGAGGTGATACGAAGAAGTCATCTTTCGAAAAAAGGGATGTTGTGATGCTAACATGAGTCATCCTCTTCGTAATATTAATTGACGCCGACGCCCGTCTTTTTCCGCCTTCAACGATCACCGCGAAGTATGCACGCGATCACTCATTGTGGGTATGACTGAAAAAACTTGTTCTTTTCAGGGTGAAATCGGGCTTTATATCTAATGAACTCCATAGTCCTGTAGTCCTGATCACTCTAGATGCTCTAGAAGTATTTTCTGAAAAGACTTTGTTCTATGACTCATTGTTTCAACTCTCACTCAAGCCTGATGAATGAATCATCAGTGTGGGTGCCTATAGTGGGCGTGATTCTCTCGTGAGACTTTTTCTATATTTAGTTGTGTATCTTCTATTCAGGACCGGGACTTATGTAGTGTAACGGTGGCCCCACCACTATTCCAACACATCGGCAGAGTATCATCCCTTTCTGGAAAAGCTCAGAAGTTGAGGGAGAGGTACTTTGAGAGAACTAACGTCAAGGTACGCAAAGATTCCCTATTTACAAAATTATAGAATACCAGTGTCGAAGTACTGCCATTACAGTACAGTAGAGATCACAATTTGAACCATCCACCTCACTTCATNTATCACTACATTTATCATAATCACAAACCCGGACGGACAGACCGACAAACCGACATACAGACAAACCGACATACCGACATACCGACAAACCGACAAACCAAGTTACTGCTTTATATATAAGAAGGATTATGGAAGCATTATGAGCCCCTCAATTCCTCTGACCAATCTCTCCGGTCTTTTCTTTACTTTCCATGAAAGGCATTTTTATTGAAATAGCAGCCAACGGGTTTTAAAGATTGAGGATACCCCAGCACATCTTCGTAATTCTATGGCTCAAGAGGGTCAAGAAGGGCCATGGCGTTCAATTGATCAAAACTAGGTCACTGCGTGCGTCGGTCATTGGTTCATGACCCTGGCTATCGTTTGCTAACCGTTATAGGAACCATATATATTTCTTTTGCAATCTCAATATTGAACCTTCTTCGGTGCTCAATTATTTTCATGTCTCCTAATGGAACTATTATACCTCTGACATTTATCGTCGATCTTAAGAATCGAAAAAGCTTCAACTCAAAAATGTGACAAATTGCAGTCAAAACGTGGCAATCCATCAGCGAGAATCACGTCAACAATGCATCACTACAGAGAGTGTACCGCTCAGGCTGGATACGACAAGGAGGGATATATGTGGTTCATAGATGTGAAACAAAATGACAGTTTGATTGTCGACTTCGAAAAGCCTGCAAGAATCACAAGTGAGATGTTTGCTGTTGACTGATTCATTGGATTCATCGAAGCTCCATTACTTCATGAACTACTTCTCCCCCTCTTTTTCTCTCCCTTTCTCTCTCTTTCTTTCACAATTGTAACAATCATTTCTTATAGACGCAACAATGAAGAAGGAAAAACTGTCTTCCGTGAGTGCGCTTCGCTCCAGAGTCCCTTGAAAGTACATCACGCCGCAGCCGTCGCATGCGGCGGGTCAGCCCGCGATCTTTGTTAAACGTCTCAGTTGTCAGTGGGGCATACGAATTGGCTTGGCCCACGGCAGTCAGCCAAAGAGAGGATAACACGGACAAGTCATTCGCTCCACCGACACCTGGCGATACTGTAATGTCATCTCGGGACCTCAATGGGGTTCGCCGCGCGCAAAGTAGGCGGAGCGACCTAGTTTTGACAGACACGAGGAACGGACGTTCTCCGAAGCTCATCAACAATGATCACCTCAAGAAGCTAATAACTATACACTCAGAAAAATTAATTGACATTCGATTCCCGGATCGATACCCGCCCAGGCCAACCGAGGCTACCATCCTTCTAGGGTTGGTTGATTGATACCAAACTCGTCTTGGAGGATGAAAGCTCTGCCTTGATAGTCATCTGTCATTCGCAAATTCCCATGTATGTACGCATTCAAATCCTTCACACCATTAATTTAGGAATCCTTATAATCACTGGAGTCGGAACGGCGCCGCTCGATCAATTCGGACCCGAAACCAAGGTCCTTATGCGATACAGCGATGGTAAACGCCGAAATTTGGGCGAATTCAGTAATGGAGGCGATTTTATGGCAGAACTTTATGGATGGGAAGTTTCATCGTTGCAATTACTAGTCACTGCTTCAAAAGAACGTTGGGTTAATGTGGGCTACTTCAGCATAGACGTTGCCCAAGATGAAACTCACGATAAGTGTCGTCCAAAGTATAAATCGTCCATAAGTCATACAGGTATGAGGGAGAATAACTAGTATGATGACTTCACAACTGATTCAGGATGTCTTTATTTTTGGTAAAGCCAACTTAGCTACTTTAGAATATTTAAGAGATTTACGTTGTGTTTTGTTTGTAGGTTCGTGATTTGAATTGTTTGAATTCTTCTGTTGTTTTCTTGCTTGTTGTTGTAAATAAACCTTGTATTCGATACAATGCCAAGCTGGTAAAAGCTTTGTTAAAGACGGACAAGTCCCCAGCATGCCCAAGATTTCACAAAGAAATCAAATGCTTAGCGATTTTGAAGGATTCAGGGCGAAAACAAAGATGATGAGGCAGTGGGAAGTGCAGGAGATAAGAGACAGACAGACAGAGGCTGAGAAGCATGCACTTATTGATACATACAGAGAGAGAAACAAATAAGCATGCAGACATAGATCACCTGTATCACCTGTATCACCTGTACTCCCGTTGATCGTCGATTTCCTCGAGCGGGCGCCAGTAACGTCTCCATTCGTCCCTGTCGCGAGCCAGAGTAGTCCAGTGAATCGCACTCGCTCGAGGGACACGGGGCAATACATTTCTTTCGTTCAGAGCTTTCATGAAGAAGTCTGACCATCTCGTTGGCGGCCGTTCTGGTGTTCGCTTGACGTCCCGAGGGATCCAGTCCGTAACCGCCCTGGTCCAACGGTCATCATTATATCGCATAACGTGTCCGGCCCACCTGATCTTCGATCTCTTGGCGTAGTCAACGGCATCCCTGATCTTCGTTCGTCGACGGAGCT